TGCCGTGATCAAAGCCGTTTTCTTTCTGAAGATAAAATGAACGTTTATATAGTGAGAAAGCGAGATTGATTTACGGATTTAAACACGCCGTTCTTATTGCGGATCATAAATCTGTCACAGGCGCTGAGAAACTCCCAAGAAGCTTTTCCGAGCAGAAAAACCTTTAAAAAAAACTCAGTGCTATACCAGACCAGGATAATCCACCACTCTGGATCTCCCTCGACCCCTATACCAGGCAGAACATCCCTCTTATATTCTCATACCATATAGAAATACATATATATATCTCCACATTTATTTCCCCTTTAGCCAATTTACTCCCTCCCCTCAATTGGACTTGTGTGAAGAGATTTTTCTCAGATCAACATCTATTTTTTTGGGTTCAGTTTTGGCATCTAGAGGTAACAAAGGGATTCAGCAGATGGACCACAAGCAGAATTTGAGGGAGTCTGGGATGGGAGCTCTGGTTTGGGGGTCTAGGGAAGAAGCAATCCTAGATTTCCTCATCCCAATAGGATCTCCCGCACATCTCTTCGCTCAGCTCTGGGCACAGAGAACCTTTGGAGAGAGAGGGACGAAGTGGGAGGAGGAGGAGGAGCGGGGGGAGGAAGCAAAAGGGGGGGATGGATGGAGAGAGATTCTCTGAAACAAAGGAATTTCTGAAAATAAGAGCGACATGAGCCGAAAGGACTCGGCGAGGCTGTGGCTTCGCTCCACTTTGGGGCTTGGGGTTGGGTTTTTTTTTTTTTATCCCAAAATTATTTTTGTAAAACCAAAAACAACGCGACTGTTTGGCAAAGCCAAACCACAGAGGTTCCCCTCTCCCATCGCCTTCTCTCCTGCTCCTTTTCCTTCTTCCAAAGCAAAGCAAAGAGCAAACACCGAGAGATTTTTGCAACGAGAAGGAAAAAGGTTTGTGGGATTTTTGCAGGGAAATGAGAAGAATACAACCCCAGGTTTGGGGGAAAAAAAAACCAAAACGATTAAACCTTGAGAAAGCAGAAATAAAGCAACTTCTAAGAGCTTTTTCCACTCTTTTTTTTCCCTCCACCTTTTCCTCCCGGTGCTGATTCCTATTTCCCCAGCCCAAAATTCGGGGAGGGCCAGGACCTCGCACACGTAAAGTTTTGCTGAACTGGGGGCTGAGCTGTCGCCCAGCACAATGTCCAGCCTCGGAGAGGTCAAGGGGTTTGCGAGGTCAGTCCTTGGCTATAATACACAGCTAATCGCCTAGAAAACGTGTCCTCTGTATGAACTCTATCTCCCCCGATCGGGGTTTGCCAAGCGCTGGATTTTGTCTCCCCAATTTTTAGCTTATTCCTATATCATTCCCAGGATGGGACAGCAACCCCAAGGGAGAATCAACCCCCCCAAGGATATCGATAGTCCTGGGATAAAACACATGAAATGTCCTTACTTGGAATCCTCTTATTCCTGGGACATCCTTAAACTGGGAAAAACACAATCCCAGAGTTCTATCCCCTTCGGAACACTCTGCCAAAACCTCCTCTAACCATTCCGCGAGAGAAATCCCTCGGGAAAAAAGAATTTCCAAAATTTCAAGGTGAAAAACCCCTCGAGCATCCCCCCCCGAGCTCATCCCACCGTCCTACCCACAGCGAATAACCTCAAGCCCCAAACACACAGCCCCAAATCGAAGAGGAAAAAAAAAAACCCTCTAGCCACAAATAAATCCCTTGCAAACTTTCTCTGCCTCTTCCGTCGCTCACATCGATCCAAATAAACCAAGAAAACAGAAGGAAAACCCGCACAAGAATTCCTGTGTTTTTTCTCTTTCTGCCCCCCCCTTTTTTTTAACCCTTTTTTTCTCTTGCTTTCCCCCAGATTTCTCCTGAAAGGAGGCAAGAAACCCATCAGAAATACATGCCAAGAGAGCAGCTCTGTTACCTGGTTCGCTCCCACATCCTTTTTCCAACACGACCCTCATGGTTTGGGTTGTTTCTTCCAAAGTGAGAGGTCTGGGGGAGGGGGTAGCTTTTTAGGGGGTGTTTGGTTTTGATTTTTCTCCCCCAAAAAGAAAGCTTTCACCTTTACGCTCCCGATTTTATTATTAATATTATTATTTCCCCTGAAGATTCTTGCAGGGCTCCGGGTGCTTTTTTCCCAACAGACGGTCTGCGGAGATTTGCTGTTGAATAACAATGGGAAAAGGATAAGTATTTAAAGAAAAGAAGTGATTAATGATTTTCTGTATAATTCTCGCATTTTTCTTGGCTTCTGTCTGCTTATAATGGCTGTGAACTTTTAGGTCCTATAGAAATCTTCTTTTCTCCCCCTTCTATTCTATTCATACTTTCCAGCTTTGATTTCCCTCTATAGACCCTGCATTCCTGGAAGCATATGCCTTTTTTTTTTTCTTTTTTTTTTTTTTTTAAAACAACCATTTTTTGCCATTCTTAGAAGGACTATCTTGAAAATCACACCCTCTTTACAACCTCGGATCAAAGAGCGAAATAGCAAAATAAAATGCAACAACAACAAAACACCCCAACCTCAGACATCCCAATAAAATACAGCCCTTGCCACCCTCCCTGAAACAAACAAAAAAAAAGTAAATAAAAAAGAAACTTGAAAGGTTTCTAGTTGCTACCTCTAACAATGTAAACAATCCACCCGTAAATCCATTTTTTTTGGTTACATGGGACCATGTGACTACATTGAGATTATTTTTAAGGGTTAAAACGGCACTAGAAAGAGAAATCCAAGGATTCTTTGTTCGAATTGGGGGCAGAAGGACTTTTGGGGACACTTTATTTACAAGGTGATCGTGCTGGGACTTTACTCCAACGAAAGGAATATAACACATAAACACACTGTGCTTTAAATATTTCCAGCCCTGTCTTTGTCTCTGAGTTACGTGGAATATTTCGGCGCTGCTGGGGGGTCTGGGTGAATTCCAGGAACATTGAACAAATAAGCAAAACTTCTTTTTTTTTTTTTTTCCCTCTTTTTAGAGACAAGTGTAAGAAAATGATTATTTTCTTCAGCTGCTGCTGAGGTTTTCCACACCCCCCCCGAGCACTATAGTCTTTTCTTTAGTTATATTTCGAACTTCGAACTGGAATGTTATTTCGTCCTGAACAGTATTTTCGATACTTTCTATGAGAAAGAAAATGAAAATTAATACAAGAGCTGCGGCTCACAAAAGAAGCCATTTGTCTTCTTGATTATCTATTTGCTTGTCAGGCTATGAGCTATCGCAGGAGCCAGCTCCTTTGTAATATAAAAATACACAGAAAACCTGCAAACACCGAGAAACATCTGTGCAAAAATTAGACTCATTAATGCATTAACTACCTTGGAGAAGGAGATTTTTTTTTTTTTTTTTTTTTTGCCCGTTAAATCCAGAAGGCTCTCTAGAGAAATACAAAGCTCCATCCATTCCTTCCAGCAAAGCAAAGCACTAATGACTAGCTCTGTTTTATCTGAGCTCAGTTTGGGAAGAGCATATTAATATATGCTTTGAACAAATAAATCATAATATGTAAGGCTTAGCAGTACTTAAAGCTGATATACCCTAGTCAAACATCTTTTGTTTTCATTAGGGAGTTGAGGCTGTGCCATTGACAACACAAAACCCTGTTAAAAAAAAAAAAAAAAAAATTAAAAAAAAAAAAAAGGAAACGTGCTGTTTAATGAATTGCTTTCAAATAGATAGATTTTTCTCGCACCGGAACAAAAAGATAACCCTCACCCCCCCTCCAAACCAAAATAACAAAAAAACCACACAGGGGCAGATTCACAATGAAAAAATTTATTTCCATTTGCGCTTTTTTTTTTTTTTTTTTTTAATGCAGCGAAAGGCGGCAGCCGGGAGCGGGGTTTGGAAGGAGGGGGCGGGCCCGGCGCATGTGTGTCG